GGCTTACTACAGAAACCAAAAACCAAATAATTTGAAAAAATTGGTGCAAGCCAACGTGGTAACTACCACAAATCCATCAAGAAAAGATAGCGAAAGGGGATATTGGAGGAAGAAGCAGAAGTCTGGAATGAGAAGTTAAAGAAGATGTGAAAAATGCGGGACGGTTAGGGCAGAGGATGTGAGAGTTATGCTGGAAGGTTAGGCCAGAAGACGGGGTAAATCGATACACGAAGGGGGCAACACAACAAAATTAACGCGAAGAAACGTGGGCCGTAGGGTCAAACCTGCGACCCGCATTTTATGAAAAATGCATCGCACAATGGGAGAAACCCCCTCCCCTCCCCCCAACATCGTTTCATTGAGGCTTGAAACTGCGTCGCGGGAGAAACGCCCTCCGCGGGCATGTCAGCTTTTTCATAATAGGGTACCTGACTTCGACTACCCCAAGAATCAAACTGGTTTAATAGATGGGAAATTGCTTTCCCAACTCGTCTCAAACCAGAACCGAACTGATGGCTTCTGAACCAACTCCCAAATATAGCGCGTGTTTTTTTTTAGTTTCGGGCCTTGCAATAACAGAGGTGTAACTAGCGCCTAATTTTGCCTTTGGAACGCCTGCTCATATTGGGTTGTCCACTCAAACCTCTTGGCTTTCCTTAATAATTTAAAGAAAGTTGTGCATTTGTCGCCTAATTTGAAAATGAATCTATTGAGCACCGCAATATGGTCGGTCAACATCTCCACTTCTTTGGTATTTCGATAAGGCATATCCGAGAGTACCTTTACTTTCTCAGGATTAACATTAATGCATTTGGGCTTCAGAGGGTATCTAAAGAATTTCCAAATTGAAGCTCCAAACATGCATTTTAGCAGATTTAATTTCATATTATACTTTCTGAGAGTCTGGAAGGTTTCTTTTAAATTGCTTGTGTTGTTCGACTGACCCACTTTTTACTAGCACATCATCAAAATAGACATTAATATTTTTTTTTCCTTTTTTCTTAGAATAAATTACATCTGTAAGATGCTGGTAAGTTGCACTAGCGTTTTTCAGCCCAAAGGGCATTACAATAAAATAAAATAATCCTTCACTGGTAATAATAGTTGTCTTTTAAGCATCAATCAAATGCATCTTGATATGGTGGTATCCGGAGAAAGCATCCAAAAACTCATGACAAAGTGCCAACCTCAGAGTCCACTTATGCATCCACTTATGCATCCATCCTTGGTAGTGGATAGTCATCCTTTGGTTAAGCCACGTTAATATTTATGAAGTTCACGCACATCCTCCACTTGCAGTTGGACTTCTACACCATAACTATATTAGATACTCAGGAGGGGCATTGCACCTCTCGAATGCAGTCTACCTCCAAGAGCTTTTGTACCTCCTCGTGAATCTGTCCAGCCAAAGTCATCGAGGACGACCAAATCTTTAGCTTCATAGTTTGACAGATGGACTGACATTGAGGCGGTGACAAGCCATGTCAATGGGGATGTCTGGCATCTCAGCGACCAACTAGTGAAAACATCGTGGTGCTCTTGGAGAGTCTGGATCAACAGTTCTTTGTGTCTTGCTTTGAAAGTTTCGCTGATTAGAAAAACTTTACCAAAATTTTCGGGGTTTGCGGGGAACTTGATAGTGGCCTCATCAGTTTGAAGGTCTCCTTCCCATTGGTGTTGTATAATCAGCGCTTTGTGCTCCATGCTTCCTGCTGCTAGGAGATAACATGTCCAAGACTATTCCAGATTCCCACTTGTGCTCTCTGTCATAGGAAATTTCACCGTTACGTGGCATGTAGACACCACAACCCAGAAATTGTTGAGCAGGCGACTAAAGATTACATTGTACGTTGGTGGTGCATCGACCACCAGGAAATCCTCAATATTACTGAACTGGTTGTTGCCCTCTCCCGAGGTGCCAGGCAGTGCAATTATGCCAAACGCCTCTTTTTTTCTACAGAGAACCCATATGGTGGACTAGTCATCGCAGTCAAACGGTCGGTCGTCAAGTGTATTTTGTCAAAAGCCACCTTGAACAGAGTGTTCCTCGAGCTACCTGTGCCAACCAAAATACTATGTACTTGGTAGTTGTTAAATATTGCAGTGATAATGATTACGTCGTTATAGGGATTTCCAACAACAGAAAGATCAATATTAGTGAAAAGGATCGGAGGATGGGGCTTTCTTTTTGGAATGGAAGCTACAACGCAAAATTCTCCCAACCATCCCCTTTTTCTGCCAGGTTTTCAGATTGAATTACCTCTCAATATTTTCAATACCATCACCTCTATGTGGATGGTATTAGCTCAGATAGATTCATTTGAATCGTCTTCTACATGTGACTTCTCTTATCGCCGAGTATACGCTTCTAGGGCCACAAACTCCTTGAGCTTCTTGGCTCGTATCAATTATTTGACCAAGCTATGGAGGTGGCTACGCTCCTTCATATCATGGTTGTGGTCTTTGTGGTACATACAATACTTGTTGGTATTTCGGAGATGGACTTCTGTTCTCATCGGTGGAGCCTTCCGGAAATACTCCTTGTTCTTTATAGCCTCCACTAGTTTTGTCATCGAAGCCCTTAGCTAAGTGGGTCTCGACTCCCCCCAATTGCAGATTAAGCAATCATTTGATCAACTTCACTTTCGTGAATTTCGATCAACTGGCCTCATTCACATTTGGGATGAGGACCATCTTTCTCCCTCCACGCATGGTCCCAAACCTTTTTTGTCAGATCGACGGTCTGACTTCTCGTCTTTTGAGACAGGAGGGTTCATGTACTTTGCTGCGATGTTTTTTTGTCTAACTCTAAAAGTTCAATCAAAGTTTCAGGTTTTCGCAAACCGAAGAAATATAAAAAAGGAGCACACTTCAGACCTTGCGCCAGAGCAATTTTATCGATTTCTGGCTGTAGTTTCCTCACCTCGAGTATCTCCTTCTAGAACCATGTAATGTATGTCTGTAGGCTCTCACGTGGTCTCTGCCTTACAAACCAAAAGGATTCTGAATACTTGCGGGACTTTTGGACACTAGTGAATTGCACCCTAAATAGTTTCTTGAACTCTCTAAGGAAATTTATAATTCCAATAGAGAGTCCATTGAACCATCTAAGAATCGAATCTCTCAGGGTGGTGTAGAATAGTCAACATTTTAATGCGTCGGAAATCTTGCGAAGGTATATGGCCAACTCAAAGAACGCAATAAGGTCGGTCGGATCGCTCCGGCCTTCGTATGGTTCCAGGGAGAGAACCATGAACTTTTTCTAGGGTTTTAGCTTCAACGATATGCCGAGAGAATGCATTCTTCAATCAGCGATAAACTTCGATCTGTCCAACTTGTGGTACTATCTGCGCCGCTTGCAGCCTGCTTCTCAGCACAGATCTCTAGGTTCTAGGACTTTTCCATTTGCTCAGCTCGTTGAGCCGCCTGTTCGCCTTGAGTTTCAGTTGTTGGAGGATTAAGCTGTGAAAGAGGTTCTGCTCTGCCCTCAAGTACCACTCGAGTCGGTTCAACAATATGCCCTGCCATCCAATCATGAAGCACTTAAATTTATTCTTGCACAAATTCCCTAACAGACTCCATGTTAGAAGTTTGTGTGTTCCTTCTCCGTTACGCGCTCTTCTTGTTGAAGGTATGATTTCACGCTCACTTCACCATTTAGAATGTTGAATCCCAAAATATCCACCAGGTCACACTCAAAGGATAGAGCATTGGTCAGATGAGAGGAATAGAAAAAAAGAGTGGAGAAAGATAAGCACAAATGAAAGATATTCTCGGGGAATAAATCCAGTAGTCATTCCTATAGAAATGACCATCTCATCCTTTTTATAGATCATAGGAAGTGTTTGGTGAATGAAATGATTGTCCCTAATTTAATGGGAATGTTATAATATTTTTATGAACCATTACATCTTTACTTATTTATAACTGGTTTTGGCATTATCTAACCCTGTTAACCGTCATTGGCGTCGTTCCATATCGGTAACTGTTTTTATGTTGTTTTACATTCATAACTACTCAGTCTAGTCAGTTTGCTTTCTCTTGGTTATCTATAATCATTTGTTTGATTCAGAATGCTCGACTGATCTTTTCGAGGGCATCCCTTGCGAAGACCCATGTTCTTAGAAAGGGTGTTATTCTATTAAACAAAGGATATATCACTGAAATCTGATAGACAGTCTTTGGGAAATAAATCATCGTAGGAGGTCGGACGAGAGTTCTATTAAGTGACCATTGACTTTGTGAATACTTCCGTATCAATTTAGTTATCACCAGTCTAGGTACATGACATTCTTTGGTTTGGACAAATATTCATTTGATCGGCTGATGATTCGTCCAACTGAAATATTGCTAGTTGATTCCATTTGTTGTTGCCCTTTACTCTCGGTCTGCTGGATCTTCTCGAGATTCGTATAATCACACTTATGATATACAACGTGTGATCTATGTTTTCAATTTTTGTCATCAAGAAGAGCCTTCTCTAAACCCTATAAGAGAGGAGAAATTATTGAAATATCAAAAGAATCATCCTCCAAGTCAAAGTTCACCTTCATGTTAAATAAGTCCAGTTGTCATGCAATAAAATGCAAAACCACGTATTGAGAAAACTTTTCATTAAGAAATCATCTACTTGAATGGGAGCTGGAAGTGATGGCGGTTAAACATCTCAAATGCCTGAAGATGTACAATCAAAGTCTTAATATATCTCGTTCCCATCATTTCCTCGAAACCTTGATCAGTAATTCCGCAAAAAGCCTACTTGTACTAGAGAGTAAACTGTTAACCAAAAAATAAAATGGAGTATTGCATTCTCGTGTTCAATAAGTTCTTCATCTAATGGATTTCTGAACTGATCTTCAGAGCGGGCAAAAAATTATAACTGAGGCAAGAAGAAAATCCACCATACAATGAAGAAGATTAAAAATCTAAATTGGAATATTTAAAAGAAGACATTATAATAGCATATAGCTAACTCTCTAGGCTTTCACTCCAGGAGGGAATTAAGAAAAAAGGCAATAAATGCTAAAGAGCATTTTTGCTTATCATATTCGTTGTCTGAAGAATTCAAAATACAATGCAGTAGTTATGCAAAAATATGCTAAAAGGAATATAAAATATATTATCTGCAATTTATATTACATCCTTTTCAACATGAGGACCCTCCCTGCAGTGAAAAAATAAAAAATAAAAAATAAAATAAGCAAAACTTTGAACAAAAGTTTAAAATCCCATTATATAAATGAGCAAATTTGGGGGAAAAAAAAACTCTAGAGGCTATGATCCTCCCTTTTATTTTTCTGAAAGTTGGACAATGTTGAGAGAAATAAGAAGGGAGAGTTCCAACATTAGCATAATCAGTATGCAGGATTGTCCATATTAACATATTAACCTCTAGAGGAACTGAGTTGTTATGGCCAATGCAAAATAATCTCAGCAATCAAGTATCATATGATTTCCTGATATTTAAAAAGAAATTTCTCAAATGCTTAATTAGTTTTTTAAAATGCCCCAAACATTGTTAATATTGTGAAAAACTAAATTCAAATGCTTATTCTCTAAGCAAAATAAAGAAATTTATAATCAAGAACAGTGAAAGATTTAAGAGGAATAGAAGAAGAGACGAAGAAAAACCTTGTTGCGGTTAGTAAGTTGCAGCAGTGGTGACAACTATGAGTTCAGCTTCCCGTGGTTTTGAAGTTTCTCAAGAAACCCCATAACTCTCCACATAAGAGCTGCTTTTGTACAAAATAGATTAGGGATGCCATTTCTTCATGCATTTTTTCTACTGCAGAACCTGAATCCACGTTCATGACATAGAATCCTTTAAACCAAAGAAGGAAGAGAAGGGAACACCATAGAAGAATGGAAAAGAAAGGAACCACAGAAACGAATTTGCCTCATCTCTCTAAGGAGGCAAAATGAGAGTATAAAGAATGATATGGAATTTACTTAGAAAAAAAAACATCAAATTATCTTTTATTTGTTGCTAAACAATACAGTTGATCAAAGCAAAAAATCAAACTGGAAGGATTGTATCTGAAAAACTCATCTTTATTCCGAGAATAAAACACATATTTCATTTTCTAATAATTCATAGAAACTGACCTTAATTTCTCCAAGTTCATCATCTGAATCTGTTTCAGTTCCTGTGAGATTTTCATCATCAGAATCATCTTCAATTCCAGCGATGAAATAGTCATCAGAAGCAGCCTCATCTGCACTAAAATATTCATTATTTAAACTAATTTCATCCAGAGGTTCTTCCGAAAAGGTTTTGCTACAGTCAGCAGCATTTTCTTCTGCAACAAATCTTGAAACCATATTTTTTGTGTTAGGGAGCCTTTTTCTTTCTTGGTCGTAAACAAAATCTGCATTTCGAGTATTTGGATTGCCGTAAAGTGCAATATGTCTGTAATAAAGTTCTAGTTCCTTCTCAGCTATTGCGATAAATCTTCTCACAGTTTCTAAAGATTGCTCGTACTTCGATTTTTCAAGTGCCTGGAAGCAATAAAAGTATTTATAAAATTTGAGCGCTCAGAAAGGACAGAAGAACTTCAAATTGATCATGGTATGATTAGAAAAGGAGGAAGATTTACATACATACCACTTAATTCATATTTAAATATCTAAAAGTTATACTTCAATTTTTGCATACTTTTCACCTTATCTATCCATGAAAAGGGTGTATTTAATTTTTTTTCTAGTTAAAGGTTGCATTTTAGTTATGATATGAAAGATTTGGGTGGTATAAATGTAAAAATTAAACTTTAGAAGTTAGATATGTGATCACAAAAGAATTAAGTGGTATGTCTGTAAATGCCCCTAAAAATAAGGTTAACAAGTCATTCAATGAAAATATACTCTTTTCTTAGATAAGGTATCAACAGGGGACATTACTTCCGGCTGCACATAGTTCTTGCCGCGATAAAATATTATTGTATCATTTCCAATAATTTCTATCAGAACTCCTCCACTCAGCCGAGCTAACTCTTTAGCATATTCATGAACCTGACCCGGTTTGCAGGGTTTGCAAAGAACTTTAACTGTTTCATGTTTTTTCCAATGTAAATGCATGTTAAGAATTACTCCTCCAAATATGCCTCTCCTTCCAATTGGCACATAATTAGACCTTTTTTGTGCCATCTTTTTTATGTAAAATCTTTCCTCTCCTGTTAAGTTTTCTTCTGGATTTGGACCTTGAATTTGGGAAACTTCATATTTCTTAAGCTTTTCTACCAATAATGTTTCCTTTACTTTAGCCTGGAAAGTTTAAAAAATGAAACTTAGTTTCACAAGAAAGTAGTTAGGAAACTCTTATGGAAATTGATTAAATATAAATGCTGGCATCCTACATATAAATCTTAGGAGAAAAAAGATAACGCAGGCCATGAATATTCCTCAATGAAAACTCAGCAGCAAATAGAGTGGTCCACTAATTGCATGGTTCAAGGCAACAATTTTAAGGTGGTAGATTTACATAACATGCCACTCAATTCCTATGTATTTACATATCTAACACCTAAACATTAATTTTTCCTTGCCTATGAATGAAAAGGTATGCATCACATTTAAAATATTAAAATATAGGTACTTTTAATGTGATATAAAAGACTTGGGTGGTATAAATTTCAGAAGTAAGGTTTAGGTGTTAGATAGGTAAATAAATAGGAGTTTTGGAAGTTTTAAAATTTTTCCGATGGCAATATACAAGTAAATGGGATAAATCTGCTTTTCAACAATTTCAAAATTTAATTGATGGGCTCTGGGAACTCGGAACTTCAACCAAATTGCAATTGAAACACATGAAAAACAGATTCTTACAATTTAAGGCAACAATCAAGTATGCTTTTAACAATGTTAATGATTATATATACCAAATGATTTCACAAGAAAATAAAAATAAGAAAATAAATTATCAATTAGATAACATAATTTTCAAAGAAAGAATCGTAGTATTCGTCAAAAACTTTAAAATCACCTTGGATCTTTGTAAAGTGATTCTTACAGCTTCTTAGAATTTGTATTTTATTTTATCGTTCTTATTGTGTTTTTCTAGAAATCAAGCTTTGTGTGAGGATTAAGTAAACCTTAGTTATAAGTGATAGCATTAAGTTACTTCTGAAATTCAAAGTAATTTTTATTTGTTATTAAGAAGAATATCTTCATTACCTAGTGAATTGAGCTGGGAGTGGTCCAGGCATAAGTCAAGTGATGACCAAACCAGATAATTATCATTCTTATAAAAATTATATTGTAGCTTAGATTTACCTTCTATGCATATATATTAATATTGTCATTTACGCTCTAACATACCTGTGGTGATTGCAATACAAACTCTTGTAATCTCGTGTAGTGTAAAATAAGAATTATTTGTGTATGAAAGACGTGCTCTCATATATAACATAAATTGTTCTGTTCACTGCCCCATCATTACTTCAATGCAAGTCTTTTGCTCTCTTTTTTTTTTTTAAGAAACAAATCAGAATTGTAAGCTAATGTATTGTAAGGAACTCACATATATATGCTTACAATACTTTTAGTTATAATGGCTTAGTATATTCAATCAAAACTACTATTTGTAATTGTTTTTTTTTCTCCATTTGTATTTCAATTGTTTTTGTTTTAGTGGGTTAAAGGGTCGATAATTAGACTTTTGATCTTATAGGTTCTTCTGCATTGTCTGTTAATCGCAATTAGTTGGTGTCATATGTGAAATTCTGATGAAACCAACCAAATTCATCTCTTCTTTTCGGTACAACGGTTTTTGAGGTTCTCATAGAATGCCTTTTTTGGTGATATGCATATGTGACAGACACAAGCTTGGTATTACATGGGTTAAAAACAACCAAAAACTCATTTTTGATAAGGTCTACTGTCTTCTTGTTGTGACAGATTCGTTGGTTTGTATACTAAGTTCTCTGAGACCTCATGTCTGCACAAAACTATAATTATTCACTTATTTTATCAATTTTTACTTGTTTATTTTGTACAGTTCTTTATTTTCGTTCCTTGTATATATTTGATATTGATTGTTTGGGTTTTGTGCGCTATTCAAATGTGTTTTTTTTTTCCCTTTGTATTTAATTTGTTTTCTATTTTTGGTGGGTCTGAGAAGTTCATGATGAGACGTTTGACCTTAAGGGTTCTTCTGGATGGTCTGTTAGTCGTTGTTATTTGGTGTCATGTGAAATCCTATTGCAGGAAACCAAGTTCTTCTATTCTTTTCGGCAATATGTTTTTTGAGAATCTTCTGGATGATATTTCTTTATGATATGCGTATGTGAGACACACGAGCTTGGTTATACGTGGGGTTAAGGCAAACAAGAACCTTATTTTTTACAAGATTTGTTGTCTTCTTGTAATGACAGATTCGTTGCTTTATACACTAAGTTCTTTGAGACCTCAGACCTGTAAAAAACTATAATTAATTACTTCTCTATTTTTTACAAGATTTGTTGTCTTCTTGCAATGACAAATTCGTTGCTTTATACACTAAGTTCTTTGAGCCCTCAGACCTGTAAAAAACTATAATTAATTACTTCTTTTAGCAATTTTAACTTGTGTTATGACTAATGGATTATCGTCTGTAGCATTCAAGAAAGATGAACTCTAGAATTTCAGGGATCTCCCAATGATTGCTCAGCCATTGTAGACTTCAAACTTTCCTATTGACGTCACGTCAAATACATAGCTACGAGAGAGTTTTATAGGTGCTCACGGAGAATCACGGAGAAATGTGACTTCTTCCGATGGGCAGATTCCACTGCCGACAGTGATTGAGAATGAATTGCATCCCTAAAGATTGGCGTAGCTCTTGACATACGCCGTCTGCATTTTAAAAATAGCATCATCATATTATTAAATGTAATTTTAATTTTTTTTTCTTTTTTTAGAAATCATGATACTCACTGTTAAGTGAGGTGTATAACTTATTTTTTATAATGTTCTGAACTAGATTTTTACATTTCAAGTATCAAATATATTGCTATAACAGTTCTGTTTCAAAATATTACTACAGGGGTAGAATGGTCATTTGTCTAGAAACAGCTGTTGCACAACTATTTTCAAACTGTAAAATAAAACACCCAACCAGCTTATCTGCAGCAGCTTCCTAGAGAAGCTGCTACGCAGCAACTTATTGATAAGCCGCAGCTGCCCCAAACATACCCTAAGAAAACAGCTCCTGGGATCTCCATTCGCCGCAGGTAGATCACGATGGTCATCGCATCCTCAATTGAATTTGGTTTTACTTTCATGGGGTTGACTTCGTAGTGGTTGAGGATTGACCATGATAGAAGAGCAGTCAAAGCCCCCACCAAAGCTATTTTCAGTAGAAAATCAGATCTTTGTTAAAGTTATCACTCGCCCTCACCTCTGGCTCCACTGCCTCAAGTGTTATACTTGTATTGTATACGCAGGTGTCTTCAAGTAGCTCTGTGTTAAACGATGTAAAGGAGGCTATGATCCTCCCTTTTATTTTTCTGAAAGTTGGACAATGTTGAGAGAAATAAGAAGGGAGAGTTCCAACATTAGCATAATCAGTATGCAGGATTGTCCATATTAACATATTAACCTCTAGAGGAACTGAGTTGTTATGGCCAATGCAAAATAATCTCAGCAATCAAGTATCATATGATTTCCTGATATTTAAAAAGAAATTTCTCAAATGCTTAATTAGTTTTTTAAAATGCCCCAAACATTGTTAATATTGTGAAAAACTAAATTCAAATGCTTATTCTCTAAGCAAAATAAAGAAATTTATAATCAAGAACAGTGAAAGATTTAAGAGGAATAGAAGAAGAGACGAAGAAAAACCTTGTTGCGGTTAGTAAGTTGCAGCAGTGGTGACAACTATGAGTTCAGCTTCCCGTGGTTTTGAAGTTTCTCAAGAAACCCCATAACTCTCCACATAAGAGCTGCTTTTGTACAAAATAGATTAGGGATGCCATTTCTTCATGCATTTTTTCTACTGCAGAACCTGAATCCACGTTCATGACATAGAATCCTTTAAACCAAAGAAGGAAGAGAAGGGAACACCATAGAAGAATGGAAAAGAAAGGAACCACAGAAACGAATTTGCCTCATCTCTCTAAGGAGGCAAAATGAGAGTATAAAGAATGATATGGAATTTACTTAGAAAAAAAAACATCAAATTATCTTTTATTTGTTGCTAAACAATACAGTTGATCAAAGCAAAAAATCAAACTGGAAGGATTGTATCTGAAAAACTCATCTTTATTCCGAGAATAAAACACATATTTCATTTTCTAATAATTCATAGAAACTGACCTTAATTTCTCCAAGTTCATCATCTGAATCTGTTTCAGTTCCTGTGAGATTTTCATCATCAGAATCATCTTCAATTCCAGCGATGAAATAGTCATCAGAAGCAGCCTCATCTGCACTAAAATATTCATTATTTAAACTAATTTCATCCAGAGGTTCTTCCGAAAAGGTTTTGCTACAGTCAGCAGCATTTTCTTCTGCAACAAATCTTGAAACCATATTTTTTGTGTTAGGGAGCCTTTTTCTTTCTTGGTCGTAAACAAAATCTGCATTTCGAGTATTTGGATTGCCGTAAAGTGCAATATGTCTGTAATAAAGTTCTAGTTCCTTCTCAGCTATTGCGATAAATCTTCTCACAGTTTCTAAAGATTGCTCGTACTTCGATTTTTCAAGTGCCTGGAAGCAATAAAAGTATTTATAAAATTTGAGCGCTCAGAAAGGACAGAAGAACTTCAAATTGATCATGGTATGATTAGAAAAGGAGGAAGATTTACATACATACCACTTAATTCATATTTAAATATCTAAAACTTATACTTCAATTTTTGCATTCTTTTCACCTTATCTATCCATGAAAAGGGTGTATTTAATTTTTTTTCTAGTTAAAGGTTGCATTTTAGTTATGATATGAAAGATTTGGGTGGTATAAATGTAAAAATTAAACTTTAGAAGTTAGATATGTGATCACAAAAGAATTAAGTGGTATGTCTGTAAATGCCCCTAAAAATAAGGTTAACAAGTCATCCAATGAAAACATACTCTTTTCTTAGATAAGGTATCAACAGGGGACATTACTTCCGGCTGCACATAGTTCTTGCCGCGATAAAATATTATTGTATCATTTCCAATAATTTCTATCAGAACTCCGCCACTCAGCCGAGCTAACTCTTTAGCATATTCATGAACCTGACCCGGTTTGCAGGGTTTGCAAAGAACTTTAACTGTTTCATGTTTTTTCCAATGTAAATGCATGTTAAGAATTACTCCTCCAAATATGCCTCTCCTTCCAATTGGCACATAATTAGACCTTTTTTGTGCCATCTTTTTTATGTAAAATCTTTCCTCTCCTGTTAAGTTTTCTTCTGGATTTGGACCTTGAATTTGGGAAACTTCATATTTCTTAAGCTTTTCTACCAATAATGTTTCCTTTACTTTAGCCTGGAAAGTTTAAAAAATGAAACTTAGTTTCACAAGAAAGTAGTTAGGAAACTCTTATGGAAATTGATTAAATATAAATGCTGGCATCCTACATATAAATCTTAGGAGAAAAAAGATAACGCAGGCCATGAATATTCCTCAATGAAAACTCAGCAGCAAATAGAGCGGTCCTCTAATTGCATGGTTCTAGGCAACAATTTTAAGGTGGTAGATTTACATAACATGCCACTCAATTCCTATGTATTTACATATCTAACACCTAAACATTAATTTTTCCTTGCCTATGAATGAAAAGGTATGCATCACATTTAAAATATTAAAATATAGGTACTTTTAATGTGATATAAAAGACTTGGGTGGTATAAATTTCAGAAGTAAGGTTTAGGTGTTAGATAGGTAAATAAATAGGAGTTTTGGAAGTTTTAAAATTTTTCCGATGGCAATATACAAGTAAATGGGATAAATCTGCTTTTCAACAATTTCAAAATTTAATTGATGGGCTCTGGGAACTCGGAACTTCAACCAAATTGCAATTGAAACACATGAAAAACAGATTCTTACAATTTAAGGCAACAATCAAGTATGCTTTTAACAATGTTAATGATTATATATACCAAATGATTTCACAAGAAAATAAAAATAAGAAAATAAATTATCAATTAGATAACATAATTTTCAAAGAAAGAATCGTAGTATTCGTCAAAAACTTTAAAATCACCTTGGATCTTTGTAAAGTGATTCTTACAGCTTCTTAGAATTTGTATTTTATTTTATCGTTCTTATTGTGTTTTTCTAGAAATCAAGCTTTGTGTGAGGATTAAGTAAACCTTAGTTATAAGTGATAGCATTAAGTTACTTCTGAAATTCAAAGTAATTTTTATTTGTTATTAAGAAGAATATCTTCATTACCTAGTGAATTGAGCTGGGAGTGGTCCAGGCATAAGTCAAGTGATGACCAAACCAGATAATTATCATTCTTATAAAAATTATATTGTAGCTTAGATTTACCTTCTATGCATATATATTAATATTGTCATTTACGCTCTAACATACCTGTGGTGATTGCAATACAAACTCTTGTAATCTCGTGTAGTGTAAAATAAGAATTATTTGTGTATGAAAGACGTGCTCTCATATATAACATAAATTGTTCTGTTCACTGCCCCATCATTACTTCAATGCAAGTCTTTTGCTCTCTTTTTTTTTTTTCAAGAAACAAATCAGAATTGTAAGCTAATGTATTGTAAGGAACTCACATATATATGCTTACAATACTTTTAGTTATAATGGCTTAGTATATTCAATCAAAACTACTATTTGTAATTGTTTTTTTTTCTCCATTTGTATTTCAATTGTTTTTGTTTTAGTGGGTTAAAGGGTCGATAATTAGACTTTTGATCTTATAGGTTCTTCTGCATTGTCTGTTAATCGCAATTAGTTGGTGTCATATGTGAAATTCTGATGAAACCAACCAAATTCATCTCTTCTTTTCGGTACAACGGTTTTTGAGGTTCTCATAGAATGCCTTTTTTGGTGATATGCATATGTGACAGACACAAGCTTGGTATTACATGGGTTAAAAACAACCAAAAACTCATTTTTGATAAGGTCTACTGTCTTCTTGTTGTGACAGATTCGTTGGTTTGTATACTAAGTTCTCTGAGACCTCATGTCTGCACAAAACTATAATTATTCACTTATTTTATCAATTTTTACTTGTTTATTTTGTACAGTTCTTTATTTTCGTTCCTTGTATATATTTGATATTGATTGTTTGGGTTTTGTACGCTATTCAAATGTGTTTTTTTTTCCCTTTGTATTTAATTTGTTTTCTATTTTTGGTGGGTCTGAGAAGTTCATGATGAGACGTTTGACCTTAAGGGTTCTTCTGGATGGTCTGTTAGTCGTTGTTATTTGGTGTCATGTGAAATCCTATTGCAGGAAACCAAGTTCTTCTATTCTTTTCGGCAATATGTTTTTTGAGAATCTTCTGGATGATATTTCTTTATGATATGCGTATGTGAGACACACGAGCTTGGTTATACGTGGGGTTAAGGCAAACAAGAACCCTATTTTTTACAAGATTTGTTGTCTTCTTGCAATGACAAATTCGTTGCTTTATACACTAAGTTCTTTGAGCCCTCAGACCTGTAAAAAACTATAATTAATTACTTCTTTTAGCAATTTTAACTTGTGTTATGACTAATGGATTATCGTCTGTAGCATTCAAGAAAGATGAACTCTAGAATTTCAGGGATCTCCCAATGATTGCTCAGCCATTGTAGACTTCAAACTTTCCTATTGACGTCACGTCAAATACATAGCTACGAGAGAGTTTTATAGGTGCTCACGGAGAATCACGGAGAAATGTGACTTCTTCCGATGGGCAGATTCCACTGCCGACAGTGATTGAGAATGAATTGCATCCCTAAAGATTGGCGTAGCTCTTGACATACGCCGTCTGCATTTTAAAAATAGCATCATCATATTATTAAATGTAATTTTAATTTTTTTTCTTTTTTTAGAAATCATGATACTCACTGTTAAGTGAGGTGTATAACTTATTTTTTATAATGTTCTGAACTGGATTTTTACATTTCAAGTATCAAATATATTGCTATAACAGTTCTGTTTCAAAATATTACTACAGGGGTAGAATGGTCATTTGTCTAGAAACAGCTGTTGCACAACTATTTTCAAACTGTAAAATAAAACACCCAACCAGCTTATCTGCAGCAGCTTCCTAGAGAAACTGCTACGCAGCAACTTATTGATAAGCCGCAGCTGCCCCAAACATACCCTAAGAAAACAGCTCCTGGGATCTCCATTCGCCGAAGGTAGATCACGATGGTCATCGCATCCTCAATTGAATTTGGTTTTACTTTCATGGGGTTGACTTCGTAGTGGTTGAGGATTGACCATGATAGAAGAGCAAATCTCATGATAGAAGAGCAGTCAAAGCCCCCACCAAAGCTATTTTCAGTAGAAAATCAGATCTTTGTTAAAGTTATCACTCGCCCTCACCTCTGGCTCCACTGCCTCAAGTGTTATACTTGTATTGTATACGCAGGTGTCTTCAAGTAGCTCTGTGTTAAACGATGTAAAGGAAGATCTCTTCTCACTGGCACCAAATCAAAGAGTTGTGGAGAATACTTAGAAGCCATGTGAATCCCCGATAGTAAATGAGCCCAAGGGAAAAGATAGAAAACGATTGAAGGTAAGGGAAAGTGAGATTTGAAAAGTGCAGACCCCCTTTTCTGCTTGGCCATTATATATAGGGTACTCAAGGAAATCAAAACACCACAAATTTGTCCCTCGATCTCAAGTAATTCACATCAAATTAGAACGAATTTCAAGAAAAGAGAATGACATAAGATTTTGAAATGTCATGAAATTAAATTTTTATTTATTCATGACAAGAAACATTTTACACTAGGATTTTTGGCCATCGTGGCAGACATAAGGACACAACTCACTAGACTCTGATATAGGTCAAGCCCTCTAAAACTTAAACCTCTCAACACTCTCTTCGTTCGCTCGAACTCATAAGATCGAGCAAGTAATTAAGACCTCTATCAGCTCGGTTCGAAGAGTCCCCATGTTTGCCCGGAGAACCGTCAACTCAATCATGTATTCCTGGCAAAGCGCCTCCATTTCTTCCTTCAGGTCCGTTATGGCAACCTCTCTCTTCAGACCAGCTTCTTGGGCAAAGGAGTCAACTGTTTTGTCCATTTGGTAAGCCAGCGACATTAGTGATCCTCGTCCACCATCGGCCTCCCTCTCAACGTCCTCAGGACCAGACAGATGACTGGATGCGCCTATACCTTTAGTCGGAGCTGACGGTTCCTTGACCGTCTCTGGAATCGGAAATGACCAGCTCTCATCATCGATGAGTTAATGATTTACACAGTCTCATACGCAAGAATAAATGAAAGAAAAAAACAACAAATCTACTCAATAAAAAAGATCAGGTTTCCTTGTTCCAAGAATCTAATCCACTTCAGATGATCGAATGCTCTCACCAAAAAGCGGCTGGACAACCGCCCGATTAATCTCACCAAATGAAGGAAAGTTAGTTGTACCCACATGTGGCGGGATCTAAGCCTCTATGACCACTTGGACCGATTATTGATCAGGTCGTTCATGGATTGATGCAGGGGGCAAGGACCGACGCACCAGTGGGGCGAACGTTCTCCCAGCTTCCCATCTCATGATTGAATGACATCGAGTCGGATGACTCACTTGCTTCCTCCAGTTCCTCCACACTTTGTTTCTTATGGGACACCTATTTGACCCGCTTTTCTCACTCTGACCTGCTATCTCTTTCGGTCTTTTTGTGTCGACCGACTGACCTCCCTTCTTCCCCTTTGTTATTACAGGTCGACCTCATCCCCCGATTTCTTTTTATGACGAGTCAGTTACCCTATCGTTTCTTTTTCACCCCTACATCTTTGTAAAAGCATAATTTTCCAGTCGAAATTCAGAAGGCCTTCATCATGACTGCCTTATTACAGCCTCAACAAATGACCTCTTGCTACTCACCATAAGTATCTCTTCTATTAACAACCGACTGAAAGGCAGAAAACTGAGAAAATGTGATAGAGAAGTGTTGCTCACATCTTATTTATAAGAACTACGGGTATGAAAATCCAAAAAGTTTAATTATTAAAAGTGCTTATAACATAATAAATAAGTCAATTTTTTACTTTTTTTTTTTTTATTCTTAGCACAGCTATCGCTTTCATGTAGTAAGAAAATCGAAGAACTAAATATGTACATCAAAAATATGTTCACACGAATCTTGAGAAAATCAAGTAGGTCTTGTTTATGAACATTAAAGAACAATATATCGAGATAGTCAAACTATGAAAACACCGAGCATTATTTCGTTCAGTCAGAACTCTGAGCGAACCGAACAAAAACACAACCAAAAAAATAAATAGAAGGAACCCAATCTGAGGAATAGTAGTTTATAAACCATTCCCTCAGCTGATTCCGAAACTCCTCATAAATTTGTCAAAGTGTCCCCCACAGAATGCCTTTCTGATCCTCTTAGAAGGCCAAGTGTCGAAGGAGAGTTGTCACTTCAATTACGGTGGTACACCCTCTGCCTAACTGCTCAAACTCAATCTAAAGACAGTAGGGCCTTACTCGGGATTCCCTTGAGAGGGCCAACCGATGACTTTTCGGTCGATCGAATGTCTGTCGCCGATCAAAGGCTTTAATTGATTGCATGATAAGAATATCGGGTCATTGAATACCCCTCTCCAAGCAGTTAAGAATAAAAAATAGTGCTAATACCGATTATGAATATGAGTGTCAGAATCAGTTACAAATACGAAAAAGTGTCATAATAACTTGTAACATCCCTATTAATACAGAGAAATTAGATAGCCCTGAAGTGTATAAAGATGGGTCATTTCTACAATAAATAACTACAGAATTTACTTTATCAAAACTCTTGTGTTGTTGTGCACATACTCTCTCTCAATCTCCCTTTCTGTGTTTCTCTCGTTTGTCCAACGCTCTATATCTTGGTTGGATTCACAGGGCATATATGGATACAACAAATAATAATTTTGAAACCACAGACTCTTCCTATGAGAATTATGCAATGCCAGTCATGTAGGGTTAAAAAATTGCGGAAGAAAAATAGGTGGCTATCAGGAGAACAACATCATGAAAGAGAACAGAGGAAAGAAATACAAAAAATGCTTTAAACAATGAATTAACAAAATATGATCAGCAAGAATGTTATAGAAACTTGACGCTGATTATCATGCAATTACAGTGCCACAAACAACCTATTTTGTAGTAAAACCAATTCAACAAGGCTATGATCAGGTTACATTTAGAGGAAGACATGATTAGTTTGACAAAATCAAATTATATGACGAAGATGCTCAAAAAAACCAGAGTTCCTTAAACTAAGAAACAAGACGAGTGAAATTGAAAGCCAAAATCACCTTCTCTATCTTGTACTTGATCCGGGCTTCAGCAGTGGGGAACTTCTGCTTCTTCTTCCCTTTAGGACCAATTCGACGAGGGTCTCTCCTGTTCGCTTCCTTCCGTTTTCTCTTCTCCCTCTTCCTCTGCATCTTTAGCCGTTTCTTACTCTTCCACTTCTCCTTCTTTGGCGGATCCATCTCGTGGATTTCGAACTTCGGCTTCCCATCAGATAGCACGAGGTTCACCAACCCAAAACTCAAACCCCTCGCGAAAACCGAGCAATTAAGGAAAACAAAGGAATCGGACCTGTTGATTTTGGTGAGAAGAACGTTCCTGCACAGAGAGGGATTAGTGGTGAAGAGAGTATCAAACGAAAGCGAAGAAAATGAAGTAAGCAGAAAGTATAGACCTAGGAGAAAAAGGGGGAATTGAGGAAAGAGTTGGACGAGAGGAATGCAGGAGAAGAGACGAAGGGGTTCTTCTTAGTAACTGGAACCAAAGGAAGCGCCACGCCATGGCTGTTCCGGAGAGGTATCGATGAGAAATTTTGGCATCAGGGTTCGAACAGAGTAGGAGACGGCGGCGACAGCGGATGCCGGAAGGACGACGGTGACCCCAAAATGCCGAAGATGGCCTTTCTTCCAAGGAGTAAGAAAATTGTCGTAATATTCGAACTTCGCCAGAATTTTGCTCGAAAAACTCCCAATTAATTTTAATTTTTTTTTAATGTTTTTATTCTTTATTTTTAAAATAAATATTAATATTTTTAAAAATACTTAAAATAATTTTTAGGCTCTTTAAGAGTTTTAAAAAACAAACATAAAATATCAAATATGTTTTATTTCAGATCAAAAAATAAAAAATAAATAAATTTATGAAAATAGAAAATAAGAAAATAAAAGTAATTCCAAAGCACCCCTCAATATATTTAATTTTTTGAGATTGAATGTGAGTTACCTGTCAAATCCTAAAAACCTAAACTAATAAATTGGCCCACCAAAAAATTTGATCCCAAATTAACACGTCAAACCGAATCGTACCCCGCTTTCACTAGAATAAAACCCAAAGTATTATTTTGCCTTATATTACGTTGTTCATGCAAGCCAAGTTCAAGTCAATTGAGTTGAAAATGAGTCAAATTTAGTTTAGACTTTCTAATTCATAAATTGTTCGTGTCGAATTCGAGTCAAATAATTTTGAGTTGAGTTAACTTTATTTCAAACAAACCCAACGTGATTTGATACCCTTGTTTTTAATTGCTTAAAAATCTAAATACATCGATGTTATACTTGTCCTTGAGGTACATTTGATATAAATGCAATAGAATTTTTTGAAATAACAAGATGCTGAAATTTCAAAGTAAGGGATGTATAAAATACATGGCTTCTAAAATATTACAATTTACATACTTAACAAATAATGTTAACCACACTTATGAGATTGCACTTTGTTAATGGAGTTATGAAAAATCACTTCAGTCTTATCGGCTTGGGAATTTAAGGCTGGAGATCATCATGATCTTGCCACATAAGCTTATTATCGAAGGTATTTGTAAGAGTAGCATCATGTGAGGAAGAAATCATAAAAGGATGAGATCTCATCATAGGATTGTTAATGAGAAATTGTGATAAGAGCATGTTGGCAAAAATATCAACGAAATTGTGATAACATTTCACTGCAAAACGGTGTGTAAAGGAGCGCAATAGGTTGGGTTACAAAGAAATTGAGCTGAGCTTAGATAGGGTTTGCTCGAGCTCAAACTCAAACTCATGCTCATTTATTGAGAGCATATTTTAGATCGGCTTGAGATCAATTTGAGCTTTTAGGACTATGTTTGAGCTTGTAGATATGCTTACCTTATTCGAGCTTTACTTGAGCTTGATTTGAGCTCAACTAATATAAGAATTACAGGCATTTAACAAGCTACTCATTTAACAAAATAAGTGAGCTATAAAGCCTTATCGAGCTTTATATATGTACTTATTGAAAAAAATAATCTAGCGGTATCAAATAGTGCTTGTCGAGCCTCAAAATAAATATTTAAATAATATTATTCATGAAAAACTTGTAATTGAGTTTTAATTGAGTTTATTCACGAACTTTAATGATATTGGTGTTCAAGCCCATTTGATTGATCAAATGATCATTAATTAGCTTTAATTGAATTGAGTCATAAATATCTTGTTGAAGCCTAGCTCATTTTCAGCTCTAGTGATATGATCTTATACCGAAGAACGATAGGACCGACGACATGAAAGATAACAGAGAGGGTGAGATTAGGCTTTTTTAATGATATTTAGATGTTATGTGAGCAAATAGTTGTTTGTGTTAAATATCTAAATTATATAATATGTATATTCCTTATTTAAATATTATGATTTATTTAAAATTTATACTATAAGATCAATTAAAGTATTTTTATACAAAATCATAAGAAAATGTAATTATAATTGTAATTATTTAAAAAGTTAAACAAAAAATTGAAGATTTATATAAAAAAAAAATTTAAGGTCATTTGTGCTTATATTTTTTTCTATTTTGACATAAAATAACCAAAAAAAAATGTATATATTCATAATAATTTTGACACAACATCAAAATGATAGAATATCAATGAACAAATCAGATAGTAAGAAGACCTATTTCTACTGGTAATTTTGAAATCCAATAAAAATATGGGAGATAATCGTAAGCCGCAGAGTTGTTGGACGGAAATACTTTTCTTGCTGATAGGCTTCCACCTTTACGGGCTGATCAGATGTCAAACTTTTCGACTGAATAATCGGTGGAGATGTCAGCCAGTAATCAATTACCGACTGAAATTTCAGTTGTTAAATTTACCAGCTAAATTAGTGGATAATATTCCCGTCGCCAATTATGTGGCTGATATTTTAGTCGATATTTGATTACCAACTAAGGAATCAGTCGAAAAGCTATACTGAAACAAATCAAAATAATAAAAGTCATAGCCAAATAAATTTTACACTCATGCAAGTAAAAAATGAAACAAATAATAATCATATCTATAACATGTGAGAACGATCTAAAAGGACATATATATAACGACGATGAATGAAATCATAATAAACATAATAATAAATCTCAATAAATCATCCAATAGAAGAGCATAAGTTGAATAAATAGAAAAAAGTACAAATCAAGCTCTATGCATACATAAAAAGAAACTACTCTTTATGGTAGTCCTCCTCCTCCTACTCAAGTATAGATTATTTGCCGCACATATGTGCTTTGCATTGCAGCTGCTCGATCTTGGCCTTGAGCCTCTCAACCCTAGCAATAGTAGCTTGCACTATATCCTCTATCGAGGACTTCAACCTAGAGTCCACCTAAAGTAAATCAGCAGCGAAGCGAACCTACAATTATTTGTTGATTGCGCTCGGACGCCTGATGAGTTCATCACCAACTAACAACGACCTCTCACCAGAGATGAAGTGGTGTGCCTCATAAGAAAATCCTTATGTGTCGAGGCCATGGACCCTCTTTTTCTTTTACACCCCCCAACCCCCAAAAGTCTTAAATTTTATGTGATAAGACTAGGTACTAGTGATACTAACTCTTGTTGGACTCTATCTTTAAGCATCCTTTAGGTGCACATACTCATCTTATGAAAAATTTTAAAGAGCAATTAATATTGAAATAAGATTGTAAATTAATTTTATTAACAATAAAACTATTTAATGTACGTATATATGTCAAGATTTATCGTCAACCCACCACAGATTAGCTTAATGCTTTGTTTGTAGGTGTTTAACTCAACCATTATGAGCCCTAATCTAAGAATCTATCTTTTTTGACACATTAAACTATTATATAAATAAATTATATATATTTAATGCATTGAATAAATTTGTCGTCTTCCTCTTATACTCAGTATGTGGAACCAAGTCTCTAGTATATAAGGAGGTACCCATGCAGCCATGCCCCTATAATCTGAGGCCCAGTTTTGTTGTGTCCTCTGCCTTTCTCTATCATAGTTTTGAGAACCCATACCCTACACTAATTATCTAAAGGAACATCTACAACTTCTTGCAAATATCGGTAAACATGTCTCGCAAGTGAGTTTACCCTCAGATCTTAATGGATGATTTTCTTGAACAAAGCATAATAAGTTCAATTGTTCTTCAAAATAGCCAAAAGATTATAAAGTGTTCAGGGCACAACCCTGAACAATTGTTAATAATCCCTTAAACCATTTCAAGTTCACTTAAACTTATTATGTTGTTGAATAGATCAACCCGAAGTTCATTAGGTTTAAGTTGTGCTCAGTTGTATATCTCAATTAACCCATAAGAGAGGGACAAGCAAACTTGAGCTTATAGTGTTTGAAGGGCATTAATTATGGTTTATCTTCCAACTAATTTTCACGTATCTTTAGATTAAACTTGCTCACTACAAAGCTCTTAAGACACTAGGGGTAAATGTGTAATTTTAGGTTAGGACATTTAATTAAAAGATCAAAAAGTAACTCAACCATAGGTTTGGGACTCTAGGTTTAGTTGTTTATCAACTTTCCAGTTCATGTCCCAAACATTTAGATTGTTTAAGTTAACTTCTTCTAAAGTTTCACAATTTGGATAATTACAGTTATTTCCTTCTTTTCTAAAAGCGGAATTTGATTGGTTTCTATCTCTTACCTCCATGTTTCAATCATCCTAGAATATTTCTTAAGATCAAAATATTACCCTTTAAACTTTTAACCCATCCTAAATTTTAATTAGGGAGTGAAAGGTGGAAATTACAATTTTTCCCATGAGGCTCCTATCTTCATAAATCTTTTAAATTAATTCACATGGGCTTGAAAATTGCTGACCTATCTCTCATGGGTTAATTAAGGTACTAGGAAAGAAATCATATTTTTTATGATTCTATTTTATTTTTTATAGTTATTTTAATAAAAAATTGGGAATTTCCAAGGTTAATTCATTTAATCAATCAAAGTAAAGTTTCTGTCTTTAGGATAATTATTGGAGGTCTACCAAGGTCAGAGGACCACTTGGGTTAAATTTCATGAATTTTTTAAATATATTTAAATTTTTATAATTATTTTTTTTATTTTGATGGTTGATTAAATAGAAAATGAATTTTAATTTGAAAAATCAATTTTATATTTTTGATTGATCCCTTTGACTTCAAGGAACTCAGAAAAATTTATCTCATAATTATTTTAGTGGAAAATTAGGATAAATTTATTTTAGGCATTTAAAAATGCATAACTTTATTTATAAAATTAGGGAAAATATTCTAATTGGTTCCAAGTGGTTAGAGAATAATTGGTGACATTTTGATGCATTTTTGTACTTTTGAGATTTTTAATTATTTTATTTATTTTTAAATTGAGAAAATAGCCCAAAAATAGACTATTTGTTTTATGGTCATTTTATTTTTCTTTAGTGTTCGTGCTCACAAAGAACACTCCAAATCACTTTTCAAAATTTTCCTAATTTTATTTTATTTATTGTATTTATTTTAGTGCAAAAATCACATTTTCCTTGAAAACTGACTTTGATGATCAAATCAATTTATATTAACTTCAAATACTTACATATGCTTCTCATAACCATTATTTAGAGTGTGGATTAATTTTTATGATTTTTTGGAATATAGTTTATTTATTTATTTTATATGGGTTTTAATGACT